TTGGGCAAATGTTGCTCTTCAACTGCATCCACCTTCCCACACCTAGGATCTCCTTGGAACGTTGAACTACATTTTCCATTAATTCAAACCAGCATGGTCAGCTATCAGGGAATATAGGAGTTATGGTGAAAATATCTTACCAATCCTGATTGAGGAAGACTAAGTTACAAGGTGATCGCTTTGCAATAATCATCAACTTCAGACTATGTTGGTATCAAAAGTTGAAGACATGGAATGGGCCTTTTTTTTTTAAATTTACTCATCCCACCCACAGATTTGTTGGGGGGGGGGGGGAATTATATCTCATAAAACTCCAGGTGGAAGGGGAGCATATAAATATATTGAAATGGTAACAATTCAGATAAAAGGAAGGCTCTATAATAGAAGACAAAACGAAGAAGGCTCTCAAAATAAAAGTGCATTCTGGAAATAAGGTTTAATGTATTTAATTTTTTAAATCATTTTAACTAGAATGGGCATTGTGATTATTTATATATACCATCTCTTCTTACCTTTTCAATCTATTTAAAAAAGAATAGTTGATATTGGTACTACTTGGTTTTACTGTAGGATTTGTGGGCAAGGATATGCACTACTGACAAGTTAGTGGACTCTATAGCCAGTTAGTGGCCCTTGCGCTAAACAAAATTCCAATAACTGAAATTGAGTTCTAAGAAAAAATTGTCTTCTTCCTCTCATTGGTGTTAAATATCCAGATCCTATATAAAAAGATGGAAATAATTGGCAGTCCTTATTTTAAAATAATATTTTATTCCATATTTATGTGCAGAAAAAATACATATTTATGTGTAAGTCTCTTTGGAACATATGGAACAAGATGGATTTTGTTGCTGTTGTTAATTCTGAGTCCTAAGAAGAGCCTTGCTGGATTGGATAAACAGCCTCTGTTGTCCGCTGACCTGATTTTCAGAGTAAACAACCTAGTCTTGTTGGAAATCTGCAACCTATATATAATTAAGGGAAATTGCTGCTTCTCTGCTGTTTCTGTTGTTCTGGTTATATTTCTGAGTTTATCCCACGGGTCCCCAAACTTGGCAACTTTAAGACTTGTGGACTTCAACTCACAGAATTCTATAGTTGCCAAGTTTGGAGACCTCTGGTTTATCCTTTGCATGTCTTACTTTTCTGGGTTCTGTTTAATTCCTTTGGAATCTTTTGAAGTTGAGAACCACACTGCATTATATTCCATTCAACTGGGTACAGGGAGGTATGTTTTCCCCCCTTCCTTTGAGGACTGATGATAGTGAGGTAAGAATGAGTAGTTCTCAGACTAGAGAAGGCTGTTATATAATAAACCATCCAAGGCCTCTAAGGGAATCACCAAATATCTGTTCATTTAGAAAGGCAGGAGGAAGAAGCCAAGATTTTAAACTCTGAAATAGGGAAGGAGGGAGGGGCAGAGAGAGGGAGGGTAATCTAATTCAATAGTTATATGGGTATACACTCTTGAATTCTTTGCTCTGCAGTGTGAAATCATCTGTTGTCTTTAGCCAAACTGAGAGTCTTCTGCCAAGTTTAACCAAAGGGTGAATTAAGGATTAAGCATCTGGAGATCTGTGATTACTGTCAAGGCCAATTGTGATGTCTCACACATTCTAATCTAAAAATTTAAGGAAAAGAGAGCATCTGTATAGCTAAATGTAGGTTAAACCATTCTCACTACTGGCCATGTTGACTGACGATGGTAGAGACTGTAGATAAGCCTGGATGGCACTGCACTGGGAAGAGCTGCTGCTGACAGTTCCTAGATAAGTTGCCACAAATGCTAAGCATTTGGTTCATTAGTACTTAACCTTCGTCGTCTTCTTGTGCCATATCCATCATCGGATATTTACAATCATGTTGGTGATCCTATTTTTATTAACAGCAGCACGAAAAAGTCCAAACCAGTCTCTTAGATTTTGAAGCCATGATGATCTTCTAACTGGACCTCGTTTGCCTTCAATCTTTCCCTGGAGGGTTAAGTGAAGTATGCTGTATTTTTGCGAGTGTCACATCACATGTCCAAAATATTCTAACTTTCACTTTTTTATGGCTTTGATGATTTCCCTTGGCTTTCCCAGGCAGCTTATCACGTCCTCATTTCTGATTTTGTCAACCCAGCTTATAAGTAACAGCCATCTGTACATCCACATTTCAAATGCTTCTAGTCTCTTCAAATGGCTTTCTGTCAGATACCTCTACTCCATAGAGCAGGATAGAAAAGATGTAACATCTGACAAGCCTGATTTTCAATTTTAGGCTTGTGTTGTGACTGCAGAAGATCTTAAGAATGCTGTTCAACATTTCTCTATCCTTGTCTTTACTTCAGTGGTCATGTCCCACATTTCATGCAAATTAGAACCAAGGTACATGATCCTTTCGATTTTTTCTAGTGGCATTCCTTCCGAAGTTACCGGTGATAAATTAATGGGTTGTTTGCTGACGACCATGATCTTGGTTTTTGAAGTATTAAGCTTCAAGCTATATTTTTCAGTTATTTCTGTGACTCTGTTGTTGAGGAGCTGAAGGTCTTCATGCTTACTGGCAAGCAGAACTGTATCATCTGCATATCTTAAATGGTTGATCCGAACACAGTTTACTTTGAGGCCAGCATCAATGTTTTCCAGTGCTTCATTGAAAATTGACTCAGAGTAGAAATTAAACAACAGCGAAGACAGAATACAGCCCTGTCTGACCCCTCTTCGTGTTTCTGCATCCTCTGGGTATTTTTGGCCTGGTCTCACATTTGCTACCTGATGCCAATATAGTTTCTTTATGATTTGTATGTCTTTGTCATCTAGTCCCACTTGTTTCAAGATTTGTAATAGTTTGCTGTGTTTTATTTTATCAAATGCATTTTCACAATCAATGAAGCACATGTAAACACTGTGATTAGCATCTCTACAATGCTGTATAAGAACTTAAATGCTGAATAGGGCATCTCATGTACCAAGATTGTTTCTGAAACCAAATTGTGTGTTACTTAGACTCTCCTCAATTTTGATGTATATTGTTGTGTGAATTATTCTCAGGAATATTTTCAGGGCATCGCTCATTAAGCTTATTGTTTTGTATTCGGTACACTTCTTTGCATTTATTTTTTTGTGGATTGTCACACAGGTTGACTCATTTGGTATCTTTCCTGTTTCATATATTCAGTTGAAGAGCTGCAGTAAAACCTGCTTTTCATAATTAAAGCAAGCCCCAAAGTAGATTTGCAAAGATAGTTCCTGGCTGCAATTTCAGGGTAAGGACAGTGGAAAACTGGAAACACTAACTATCCAAATGGCCATTTATTTGCAAAGAAACCACCTTTCTTCTTTGTTTATTGGGCTACTGCTGCAGATGATGACAGCTGTAAGATAACATCAGCAGACTGAGCAGAGATGAAAGGGTTTCTGTTGCTTGCTTGTTTAGTTGAAGGAAACCCTGTTCCTTTGGAAAACACAGCTACCAGGTATAAAGAAGGTCTTCTTGTCAGAAGGTCGCAAAAGGGGATCACATGACCCTGGGACACAGCAATGGTCATAAATATGAACCAGTTGACAAGCATCTGAATTTTGATCACATGATCCTGGGGACGCTGGAAAAGTTGTAACTGTGAAAAATGTTCATAAGTCATTTTTTTCTGTGCCATTGTAACTTTAAAGGGTCACTAAATTAACTGTTGTTAAGTCAAGGACTACCTGTATTAATGGATGGAGGAAGTCATCATGGGAGTGGGAAGCATTTTGATGCAGAGATTTTTCATCCTCTTTGAGTAGGGGGAGACTGTAAGAACTCAGATATAAGGCCTTTCTCATTCTGTGCGTTGGAGCGCAGATCCCTGGAAAGTGGATTTATCTGTTCCCAAATATTCTGCCGGTACTATTGTTTGGAAGCGTGCAATGGAAAATCTGACAATTCTGCTTTGTGCTGTTTGGCGGGCAGTGAAGTTGTTTTAATCTAACATGATAGGGAGAAATGAATGTATTTTCAATTTTTTTGGAAGAAGTGGACTAGCGTTCAAGGAAGAATGAGAGAGGGGCTGGTTTTTCAGGACTGAAATAATTAACAGATACAGAGAAATTGTTCTTTTGTGTTTCTGGATGAGTGTTTGTAATAAAATGTAAGTGTAACATGTTGGCCAGGGCTTATGTTCCTACTTTGAAAATCCATGTCTCTTTTAATTCACCACAATTTCAAATAACTACCATATTGTTGAGAACACTGACTGTTTTTTCCCCTAAAGGCTAAAATTGATCTGACTACAGTACAGCTGAAAGTTGGCATAACTTTCAGTAACCTCTGCAGCAGTATTCTCTGGCACAGAAAAGGGAACTTGGCTGTTCTTTTAGCACAATTTTAGCTCACTTTTAGTGATATCACCAAGTTGTTACTTGTTATTCAGAGTACAAGCTGATCTTAAGAAGAATGAAAACTGCACATTGTTTGAGAAGTTATTAACATGGCACTATTTCCCATCCCTTCCTACTTTTTATTAATAATGCTACTGAACTAATTAGAATTCTTATGAAATTATATATTATATTTATTTTCTTCCATTCAGTTCTGTCCAATTCTCAGACGCTGCCTGGACAAGTCCCTGCAGTTTTCTTGGCAACATTTTTGGAAATGGTTTGCCAGTGCCTCCTTTGTAGGGCTAAGACAGAGGTCTCCAAACTTGGCAACTCAGAATTCTGGGAGTTGAAGTTCACAAGTCTTAAAGTTGCCAAGTTTGGGGACCTTTGGCTAAGAGAAAATGACTGGTCCAAGGTCAGCTGGCTTTGTACCTAAGCCAGGAATAGAACTCAAGGTCTCCTGGTTTCTAGCCTAACCCTATCCCTAATTATTAGAACACTTTGTATTTTAATTATTACTAAATATAATTAGTACTACTACTACTAGTATTACTACTGTACTACTGTTATGTCCTTGGCACGTGTGTATGATTTAAGATGTAGTACAACTGAATTGAATGTTCTTAGTTGTTTCTTTATCTCCTTCTTACATTTCAGTGCTTCCTACGTGCTCATCCCTGGATTTTCATTGTGACAATGGCAAATGTATCCGTCGATCATGGGTCTGTGATGGAGACAATGATTGTGAGGATGATTCTGATGAGCAGGACTGCCGTACGTTAAACGCACAATCCCTTTGTGAGATCAAATAGAATGTCACTGTTGGAGCTGCAGTCGGCTTTTGGCGATGGTTAAGCAGTAGAGTAGCTGTTAGAGTAGACGGTGTATGCTTAAAAAAAAAAAATACCCCAGTTATGTGGGCTTGCTCTAACCTCAGTAATTTAGGTTTGTGGTGTTCTTTGATAATACTACAAAACTTGACTTTTGGCAGGTGGACACATTTGTGCAAACATTTGAAAGTTGTCTTCTTGTGCTACCTTCATCCTAGTTGGTGAATTCCAACCAGAGACATGTATCACTTATCAAATTATGTTTTAAAATTTGCATTACACTGAGATCAAGCTTTTATAAATATTACATAGTTCCTGGGCTATTTATTTAGTATGCTTGCCAACAGTTGTATTCTCAATGACATGGGCCAACTGGGCTATTCTTGTATTTCCATGTTTCATTTTCTTTTAAAATAGTCGTATAATATGTTCAGAGAAATTAAATGAACCGAATAAATATATAATAAAGAATTGCATTAATATGTATTCCTAAAGTGCATATGTAGGATTCTGTTGTGTGAGAAAACCACAATGCTGTGTTTGATGTGTCTTTTTGTGGGTTGTGTTCCTGCAGCTCCCAGGGAATGTGAAGAAGACGAGTTCTCATGTCAGAATGGATATTGCATACGCAGCCTATGGCACTGCGATGGTGACAATGACTGTGGAGACAACAGTGACGAGCAGTGTGGTTAGTAACCTGGTTGTGGTAGGGCCAAAATCCAGCATTTTGGAGTGCCAAATGACATGAGAAAAAAATAATAATTGTAGCACAGATGATTGGAACAGAGTTTTTGCATAGGTTTCAGTCCTAACATGGTGGGCTGAAGATCATATATTTTGTTATTTATGAAGACTCTGAAATTATCAGTGCAAGAGACAAACGGCCATTTGCCAAACCAAGTGAAAACCCAATTTGCAGCTGAAGCAACACATTGGTAACCAAGATTTATGCGGGGAGGGAGGAAATTTGTTCTAATATGCCTAAAGAAAGCCCATTCCTTTCCCCAGTTCTTGATTCATTTGCAACTCAGTTTGGCATTACAGTTTCTGGGGCTTTGAGGACTGTGGAATAAAAAAAAAAAAATGATTAGGATAGATCTAGGCTTCAGGCTCCATGGAAAAAATTAAGATAGTTTGCTTGCCGGGCTGGGAAATTGAGGAGTTGGGGGGTTGTGCTGTGTCCCTTCCATGTCACATCAAACTGTATTCTAGTACAACTTCAGTTTATCTCTGTAAAAATCTACACTAAGCAAGCAGTCATTATTCTGTGCAATTGTGATATTGGAAGGTTTGGGGAGGTGATCGATTTTAAAAAAAGTTTCACTTGCAGCTGTGAGGGAAGGGAAGGGTGAAGATGAAGAGCTGTAATGACAGCACAGTGGTTAGAATGCAGTATTTCAGGTTAATTCTGCCCACTGCTAGAAATTTGATCCTGACTGGCTCAAGGTTGTCTCAGCCTTCCATCCTTCCGAGATTGGTAAAATGAGGACAGTCTGGTTGTTGAGGGCAATATGCGGACTCTGACTCTGTAAACCACTTAGAGAAGGTTGTAAAGCACTATGAAGCGGTATATAAGTCTAAGGGCTATTGCTATTTTCCCCTAAGCTATTCTTTCTGCTGCAGATATGAGGAAGTGTTCAGACAAAGAGTTTCGCTGCAGTGATGGCAGCTGCATAGCTGAGCACTGGTTCTGTGATGGTGATACTGACTGCAAGGATGGATCGGATGAAGAGAACTGCCGTAAGTGCCCTCTCTTTCTTGTCGCTTCTAGCATTTAAGCCTCTGCTTCTGGGAATACGTGCTAGGTTTTTTTTTTCCATGATGTAAACACCTACTGGCCTTAGCCTTGCTGTGTAGGATTAAAATATATATTAACTAGTAGTGCAAATCTCTGCAGGCATTTTTCCATCAAAAGAGCTGCTTGAAATGACATCACCCTTCCTTCATTTGATAAAAGCATCTGCTTCTAAGCTTTGAAATGGTCATGGGTATCAGTTACTACAGCTGTTAATGCTGCTCTTTTACTTCTGTCTTAAAAGAATAACATCTTCACCCACAGAAATGCTTTTTTAAAATTGATTCTGATCAATGGAAAAAGCCATGCCAGATTTTTTCACTGAAGAATCCCCACCAAAATGTTCAAGAATTTTAAATTCCAGTTAAAAAAAAACGCACTCAATTTCAATTGTGCTTTTTCTTGCCTGTTTATTTAAAAAAATTATATATCATGTACTCCAATTTGCATTAGGGTTATTTAAATACATTTAATGTTGTATAATTGTTGTAAAATCAATGCTTTTCTCATGAAACTTGATTATGATGCAGCATTTTGAAATGGTAAGCAAATGGTTTTGTTTTTTATCCTACTCCAGTAACTGTGAACTTTAGTATGTTTTGGTTTATTTTACTGGGCAACAATGAGAATCAATATATATATATCAACTGAGAGATATACGGTATTTAATTTTGCTTTGTTGATATATTACAAATAATTTGGTTTCTAAATTTTGCCTATGGGTAATCCTTGGCTTACAGCCACAACTGGGAGTGGAACTTCCATCGCTAAGTGAGGCAGTTGTTAAGTGAGTCATGCCAGATTTTACAACCTTTTTTGCTGTAGTTATTAGGTGAATTGTATGGTCATTAAGTGAATCCATTTTCTCCCACTGGCCTTGCTTGTTGGAAGCCATTTGGGAAGGTACAAATGGGGGCCATGTGATTGCAGGACACTGCAATGGTCTTAAATACATGCAGGTTGCGAAGTGCCCAATTCTTTGTCATATGACTATGGGAATACAGCAACGGCCATAGGACCAAATGTAAATCACTTTTTTCAGTCCCCCCACTCCTAACGTTGAATGTTCACTAAATGAATAGTTAAAAGTCAGGGACTATCTGTATACATAAGACTTTTGATAATTAAGGTGAGAATTACAATATAATAATGTAATAATGTAATAATAATTACATTATTGGGTAAGTGGAGGAATGGAGTGGGATTGAAAAACATAAAATGAGGAGTTGGAGGATTGTATAACTTTGTTACTGATAGGAGAGTCCAGATGTGTGAAAACTAATCAAGAAGGCAAAGGAGGAAAGGAGTTTGCAATGTTTTGACCTAACAATCCATCAGTACGGTGTCACTTTTAATTGGTGGGCCTTAGGATGTAATGAACAACCAATAGTGGGGAGGCGAACAGGTGCACAGTAACTTATCAGATCATGAGGTGGCATGCCTTTGTCGCTATGTGATAAAAGAGTGAAGGAAAGTCGGGATACAGATGAAAGGCAACATTCTTCTTGGATGATTAGGGACAGTTCCTGAATTCCTTCTAACTCTAACTTTGTAGCCCCCTTCCCAGGATGGCAAAACAGGCTGTTCTATTCTGAGGTTGCTTAGAGATGATGGGGAGGCGGGTGGGGGCGGGGGAGACAATCCTGTTTAGATCTGAACTTTTCTAACTTTTGGAAGTGAACATTTTGGTATTTTTATTTGAATCTCAACATGGCTTGAGACCTTTGTGCTTTAATATTTGGATTGCTAAAGTGTGCTTACGTTGGAAGGTGAGTTAGCAGGGATTGAAATTTTTTTTAATATATATTTTCCTGATTCGTGCCAATATTCATTAAAACCATGGATTATTTTTATTTTTTTATGTAATGCTTATTATGGGTTTAAGTAGTTGCACTGCAATTGCTTCATTGGATCCATAATTTTATTATTCATATTTTTTCCTTTAAATGGGTTTTTTTTAAACGCTTCCATTATTTTTCTGTTGCTAGTTTGATTGTTGTTTGCTCCAATTTGCCTATTCACATTTTAAATTGGAGGGGTGTGTGTGTGTCTAGTTTGGTAAACATCTTCCCTCAGTTGGGATGGAATATCCTAAGAGAAAAGATAAAAGAACCTAGGTTTCAAATGATAGCCCTGCAGGTAACTTGGGTGTAAAATACATAAGATTTTACATGTGATAATGAGTGTCTTAAATAGGACTGGAAAGCAAATTGACTATATCGCAACTTCCATTCATAATGTCAATCCAAAACCATGCAGAAACAGAGTTATGTTGGAAATAGCATTTTGCTCAAAATAGGATTTATTTAGCATATGACATATCATACACGGACTAGCAATATAAATTAACATTTCAACTAGATTAGTAGAACCCAATAAAATATAAATATCAAAAAGATATATGTTCAAATATCAGTGTCTAGGCCATCTATTGAAGTGCAACATTGTTTATATTAAAAATAAGTCAGATACTGGACTGGTATGTGCCCTTGGCTTACAGCCAGTCACAATGTGATCTACATTTTGACATGGGACCCCGTAGTCACACTAAGGCAGGGGTCTCCAAACTTGGCAACTTTAAGACTTGTGGACTTCTCCTATGCTGGCTGGAGAATTCAGGGAGTTGAAGTCCACAAGTCTTAAAGTGGCCAAGTTTGGAGACCTCTGCGCTAAGGTAAAGATGCTATGCCCCATGTGTACAGAAAGTCCTGGCAGATGCCACGTGAGGTGTGAATCCTATTCAGGATTGTCCACTGCTGATGTGGTAGTTCAAAGCCTGGCAGCTTTTTTGTGGGGTTATTTATATGTCTGGGCGTTCTGCGACCAGTTGGCTTTCCATTAGGAATTGATGTTAGTTGTCGAGAAGATATTGTGCAAGTTCGATTGGGGACTTCCTGGATTTGAGTCTTCCTGCTGATAAATGATACATTCGAAATAGGAACTAAGTACTCTGCGAGTGGTTTCACATCGGAGCTCCTTTTGAAGCCTAGTACATTTTTTGGGGTAGTCTTGCACTGTAGTATCTTCAAGTAGACTGAGAGAGTTCTATTTGTTTCCTGATTATCAGGACTTTGAACCAAGACTTAAGTCTGCTTGACAAAGTAGCTACATTAAAGTAAATGACCAGAGAGAATGTCCTTTGTTGTAGGCACACACATCCCCAAACATTATTTGGAAGTTATTTTGATGAATGATTTCCAGCACTCTTGGTTGCCTTTCTCCCAGTCTGGATGCCCTTGGGTCATCCATTTCAAACATCCTTGTTTTTCATTAATATCAAGGAAGCCAGCTCCAGCCTTTGTGAATTGCTCCCTTTCCACATTAGCTCACGTTTTCATTCAGTTTTCTGTTTCTGCCCTTCCTCCCGGATCTGAGGAGTTAACTGGATTCTCAGCAGACAGGCAGAATCTCCTCCCCCACTCCTGCCTGAAGGGCATTTTTCATAATATGTTCTAGATAGGAGGAAACTTCAAAAGGTTCAGAGGGAGAAGACAATAAAAGACGTCCAGCTCCTGAAGGGCAATGGTGGGGGATCCTGGGGGCGGTGCTGGTGTGGGGCGCGATTTGCCTTTTATCTTCAGAGATAATGAGAACTGGCCAAAAGCCAGAGCCGTAAAGATTTCTGAGCCAGGAAAGTCTTGGAGAGGAAGCCAATTTCACTCTCCCTTTGCCATTGCCTCTACTTTTCCTGCTGGTTTTTAAAATGTGTATTTTCTTCAGAAACCTAGCTGTGTTAGAGGCATGGGTTTAGTGAGATTAACAAGCTCTCCTGTATATTTCTAAAAGTCTAATGCTTTATTTAAAAAAAAAACCCACAGAAGCAAACTAGAAAATTTCCCTCAGTTTAAACTACTCTTTCCTGACACGATGCCCTCTAACCTATGCTGAATCGTTATTATAATTATTGTCAATTTGATGTATATTTTCATATTTCTACCCAGAGGGCACTCAAGATAGCTAAGGACTCGGTGGGCCTCCAATTTCAAATATATATTTTACCACCTCTTGTGCCCCTTTCTGTCCCCTGCTTACCATTTGTAATTGAACACAGGTGCAGTGCCAGAAAGTATGATCCAGATGCTGTTAGAGTCCTGAATGCTTTTGCTGGGGTCATTCTGCTTGAACACCCTTCCAAAAGCCTCCTTTCTGTTGCAGTAGTGATTTTTCAAAACCTTGAAATTTTACAGGCTGCTGACTATCTAACACCAAGAATTCTCTTCTCTGGGCTTAATTGCGTTGGTGAAAGGGCAGCACCGTACATATTTTGTCTTAAATTAAACTGAGTTCTGGACCAATGTTATATGTGCCTAGGAAGAATTCTTCTATGAAACTGAGAGAAAGGGGAAATGTTTGTCCTGGCATCCTTTTGAGATAAATGGTACTCTTCAAAGGTTTGCCACAGCAATTCATGGTGACTTTTGCTTAAGAGCAAGCATTGGTCAAACAAAATCCTCAAATGAACAGTTCCTCCGTTCCGTCATGCAGCTTGGCTAATTGCAAACCTTTGCATAGTCATCTCCAGAGATACAGAAAATTATAGCTTTGTATTTGCCTGGAAGCTATCTTGGAGGTTAACTTGTTTCTTTAGGCTTTTGGAGAACACCATGCCCTCATTCTCTTGAACACAAGGAAAGCCATTGGAATGCTTGTGGTCAGTCACAAATGAGTCTTCACATTAGAGTGCATACATAGTCATGGCAATCAACGTATGATAAAATCAGTGGTGGAATTGAATATGTAGTAAATCCACTGGCATGTGCTATTTCTGTGTTTATTACGAAGGTGTCTATGTGGATTTGCTTAGTGGATTTTGTTATTGTCCACTTTCATAAAGTGTGCTTCATATTCATAAATGCTGTTTTTCAGTTGTATAATCTCTGTTGTACTTCAGTGTGTATGTCTCTATCAACTTTCAATGTGCTAATTCTATGCATGATGACATCTTGATAGGATATGAAAAGACATAAGACCTTCAGTTCAATTCAATTCAATAAAAGCAGCTGGAATATATAAGAGTTTCCTAATTCATATTTCCTAGGCTGTGACATGAAATAATCTTAAAGAATGGTGGAAGACCTTATTGTGGATCTTTTTGTGGATTTTTATGAAGCAACGAACACTTTGTTCAAAACAGGTGTTGGAGGGGGGGCAGGAGGCCAATTACCACTAGTGTTTGATAACTTTAAGTGTAATGACAGCTTGTGTGCATGATGCTTGCCACTCTATTTGCTAGGAGCCACTGTGGCGCAGTGGTTAGAATGCAGTATTGCAGGCTGTCTCTCCACTGCCAGGAGTTCAATCCTGACTGGCTCAAGGTTGACTCAGCCTTCCGTCCTTCCGAGGTCGGTAGAATGAGGACCCAGGTTGTTGGGGGCATTATGTTGACTCTGTAAACTGCTAAGAGAATGCTGTGAAGCACTATGGAGTGATATATAAGTCTAAGTGCTATTGCTATTGCTTTCTATTTTGTGCCTCACCAAAATCACAGAACAGTGTAGGGATCTCTTGTTAATCTTTCTTTTCCCTTTTTCATTCCCCTTTTAGCATCAGATGTTCCAGCAGCAACATGCAACCTAGAGGAATTCCAATGTGCCTATGGGCGTTGTATCCTGGACATTTACCACTGTGATGGAGATGATGACTGTGGGGATTGGTCCGATGAATCTGATTGCTGTAAGGACTCAGATCAAATGGCATTGCTGTCTTGTTTTCGGGTCAGATGTGCTTCCTGGGAGGAGTAACAGAGAAAATTTGTGATGGGCATCTGTCATTCCAATATTCAAATGAGAAGCTTTTTCAGCTTTCCCTCCAGATAGCAAACTCAATCTCTTGGGCTTAATTTGGGCTGAATGAGAGTGTGAATTACCATATACTGTTTATCTCCGTAGCCTCTCACCAGCCGTGCCGCTCGGGAGAGTTCATGTGCAATAGTGGCTTGTGCATTAATGCTGGCTGGAGGTGTGATGGTGATTTTGATTGCGATGACCAGTCGGATGAGAAAAACTGCAGTGAGTACCCTGGGACTTGTAAATCGGGTCCAGCCTGGGGGCAGCGAGTAAGATTATAGAAAAGCGAGTGGTGAAACCATGTTGAACTTCTTGTTCGTATTTGTTTCCTCAGCGACCTCTATGTGCACAGCTGACCAGTTCCGATGTAAATCTGGCCGCTGCGTTCGGCTGTCTTGGCGCTGTGATGGGGAGGGAGACTGCTCTGATTACAGCGATGAGGAAGACTGTGAGGACTCGGGTAAAAATTGTACAATTGAATGCCTTTTGGGGTGGGGGGGGAGGCTAGAATCTGTGCTAAGTTCAAGTGGTCCATTTTATAATTTCGAAAATTCTTCATTCAGGGATCCCACAATGTTCCCCTGACCAATTTCTGTGTGAAAATGGGCGCTGCATTGGCCAACGGAAGCTGTGTAATGGTGCCAATGATTGTGGAGATGGCAGTGATGAGAGCCCTGCCCAAAACTGCCGTAAGTGATTTGACTTACAACCAGAATTGCAACCAGAATCTCTCGGTCATTGAGCTTAATCATGTCACGTGACTGTTTTGGTTAACAGCTGCAATCTCAGCACTCCCAAGATTTGCAGTTGTTAAGTGACCTTGTGGGTTGTTAAGCAGAGGGAGTCCCAGGTACGGAGTGCCAGGTAAGGAGTGCAGGTGCCTCAAGGGGCTCAGGAGCTGATAATCCTCCCTGCCAAAATCCAAGAAGGATTTTCAGCCCGAGTGAGTGCTTGTGCACAGCCTACACTGGGTCTCCCAGCGCCTCCTCAACCCCTTGAGGCACTCTGTACTCCTTACCTTCCCACGCTGCCTGCTCAAGGATTGAAAATCTTGCTTGGATTGTGGCTTTCCTTTCATCTCTGGGAAGGAAGGAACTGAAGGAACTCCTTGTCAAAGGATTTTCACTCCATGCCTGTTAGTGTAGAAGCTGAAATTCTTCATGCCTGTTTGTTCGAAGCTGAAATCCTTCAGCAGGAAGCTGTTTCGGCCAACCACCATCAACTTACAACCTTCCCTGCTTTCATTTCCCCATTGACTTTTTGGGGAATCTGGCAGAGAAGTTTTCAAATGGCAGTTGCATGATCTTGGCAAATAGGTTGTCAAGAACCTAGATAGCGGTTGCATGGTGTGTGTGGTGTGTGTGTGTGTGTGTGTGCGCACGCGCATGCATGTTGAAGTTTTGCAACGGCCAGAAATGTTTTATAGGCTATAAAACATCCTTTCTAAGGCCATCATTAATTTGAATGATCATTAAGTGGAAGAGTTGTAAATTGGTAGACTACCTGTAAGAATATTCTGAACGTTGGGGTGATGACCTAATCTGCATTTTCACTCTTTCTTTTCCTATATTATCTTATCAAACCCTAGTCTGTCTTTTTTGGGTTGTTTTAATGGATGCAAGGCTATTTCTGGAAGAATATGCCATTCCAGGTATATATTGAAGAGCCAAGCTAAGCTCAGCCAAGATACAAGAATTATTCCTTTCTTGACAATTTAGGAGCAATTGTGTAAGCTGGTGCTCCATTCAAAATCTAAGAAAGAAATACTTAGGCTCCATTAATTAGAGAAAAGATATCTTTTACTGGAAATCAAGTGGTAGCAACAAAAGAATTCTGAATCTGAGAAAATGAGCGCGTAAATCACATATACAAAGTGATGGCAACATTCTCACCCCCAATAGTTCAATTGGCTCATCCAATTAAAAGTGGTGTATAGCATAATGTGGGCATCTCCAGGTGGTAATGAGGCCTCTGTACGTTGACCTTGACATATTTTGATAAAGAGTGGCAGCTGCGCATAGCATAGGATAGAAGCCTAAGCAAGAACCTTCCTCCCCCCAGCTTATACAGTTCTGCTTTGTAACACCTCCAGCTCGCTTCCCATAACCATGTCCCCCCTCCTCCCCCCGTTACTTATGACAGCCGAAAGATGCAAAGCAAAGGAAGAAAATCTTGAAGGCTGACAAATTGTTTGTGTGAAATATGGTGTCTCTTTTTTCCACTTGAAAATACAAGCTCTTCTTTCCCCTCCTGACTACTACTACTACCTTAGGCATTTTTCATCATTTTGTCCTAGATAAGAGGAAAATTCTAAAAGAATGGTTGCATTACAACCATTTTCTGCCTCTTTTCACAGGTCCTCTAACTGGAGAGGAAAATTGTAACGTCAACAATGGGGACTGCGCCCAGAAATGCCAGATGATTCGCGGAATAGTGCAATGTACCTGCCATACAGGTTATAGGCTTCTGGAGGATGGTAGATCATGTCAGGGTAAGCAGCTTGAACACTTAAGTGCATCTGTAGGTGTAACTAGGGATGAAATTGTCCTTACTAAAGTCATAGTACTGACAGGCAGTGGATTAACCAAGTTCAATTGTATAATTATGTGGACCTTTCTGATTTGTATTGGCGCTTCCAAACCACTGGTCCTAACATTATCAGTCAAAGACACTTTATCAACCCTCTCTTAATAGTCTTTTTTTAAAAAAGCAAAATAGAATCAATAGAAAAATGGGGAGGGTTCCAATGGGAAGAGAATTTTCTGAATTTTTTAAAAAATAATGATTTAAACCAGTAGCTGCATATAATGGCCTTGTTTCAAAGTACTTACAGTAGAAAAGCTGGTAGTCTGACTGAATTCTTTTTTTTTTAATCCTACGACCTAGTACCGTTATGGTGAACCTATGGCACGTGTGTCACAGGTGGTACACAAAGCCATTTGTGTGGGCACGTGAGCCCAGCCAAACATACCTGTTTTCAGCCTCTGGAGCTCGGGGGAGGGCATTTTTGCCCTCCCGGAGGCTCAAGAGAAGCCTCTGCAGCCTCAGGAGGTCAAAAAAATGGGCCTTCTGGAAATACCGGAAGTGCCGAAATGGGCCTGTTTTCAGCCTCCTGGAGCTCCAGAGGCTTCCTGTGAGCTTCTGGGAAAGCAGCCTCCCCTGGGCTCCAGAAGCCCCCCGGAGGCTGAAAACAGGCACTTCCGGTATTTCTGGAAGGCCCATTTTTCGGCCTCCCAAGGGTGCAGAGGCTTCCCTCAAGCCTCCAGGAGGGCAAAAATGGCCTCAAAAGGGCCGCAAATCAGCTAGGAGGCACGCGCATGCGCAGTGCAGGTAAGGGGGCAGGGTGGGGGTGTTGCAAGCACATGCACAGGAGGCATTGTGGGTGGCAGCATGCATGCTTTCGGCACACCACAACAAAAAGGTTTGCCATCACTGATCTAGTACATAGTATGAAGGTAATAGGACAAAGAAAAAAAAGAACTGCAAGGTCATAAAAAGGAGAGGTTTTTATTACATTCATAGTATGAATAGATTACAAATTGTGTAGATTGATGGGCTAGAGATGATGAGTTAAGTGCTTGATATTCTGGGTTATCTTTTACTGTTTCGGTTTTATTATCTTTGCGAGTCCGACTAGAATTGTATTTTACAAGACAGATAGCAATATAAATATTTGAATGGTGCAGTGGCCTAGAGGTGGAGCTCTCACCTCAGGAAGCTGTGAGTTCGATCCTAGGTAGCAGCACATATTTTTCTCTCTGGGCACAATGAGAAAAATATCTGCTGCGAATTCCCCATTGGCGACAGGAAGGGCATCTGTCCAGTAAACACTCAGTTCCATTCAGTTGCTCTGATTCCACCCCGATTCAAAGGGTCATTAAAAGACAAAAAAAAAATAATAGCAATATAAAATTTTAAATAAATATATAAGCATCTAAGTATGGAATCCAAAACCAAACTATTTATCCTTGTCTTTTTAGTTTCGTACTCTTTATCCTTTTCTTATTCCAGATGTGAACGAATGTGCAGAGGAAGGTTATTGCAGTCAGGGGTGCACCAACAGTGAGGGTGGTTTCCAGTGCTGGTGTGAACAAGGCTATGAGCTTCGCCCGGACAAGCGCAGCTGCAAAGCCCTGGGTAAGGAAGAGTCTTCAGCTCCAGGCACTGGGGATCATTCAGTGCTTAGAATCCATCCGTCTAGCTGATGGATGACTGCTGGCTTAGTTCACGGCTTCAGTTTCTCCACGGTATTTAATTTTCAATTGCTGCTTGCATAAGGAGGCTAGTCTATTTTTCCACAGCCTGATGACTCTGGGTTGGGCTGGAATACAGCTTCCATTATTCCTTGACAATACATTTTGGGATCTGTTTACTAGATTTGATGGGAGTTTTATAGTCCAACACTTTTTTGGTTGGAAAAAGCTGGGGATGACACAATCCACTTTCTGAACAATCACTTTTCATGAATGCTGGTTCCCACATTTCTAACTAACTGCCGAATAGCCAAATAAAATACAGTGGAGGGAGCTACAGTATACAAGTTATAATTCTAAGCAATGTGAAGTATTGCCTACGTATAATTTTTCTGTGTTTGTTTTCTATTTGTGAACTGATTCTGTGCTGCCATTATAATCTGACTGGTGTCCAGCCAATTGTCTTCTCACATCTCTTTGCATGCAACCTTCAGGGCCAGAACCTGTGCTGCTTTTTGCCAATCGGATTGACATCCGACAGGTCTTACCCCACCGCTCCGAGTACACGTTGCTTCTAAACAACCTTGAAAATGCCATTGCCCTGGATTTCCACCATAACAAGGAATTAGTGTTCTGGTCTGATGTCACACTGGACCGCATTATGAGAGCTAATCTGAATGGTAGCAACGTGGAGGAAGTGGTGTCTACAGGATTGGAGAGTCCAGGTAAATATCTTTAAAGGTTTCAGAAGTAAAAATGCCAACTCTGTATGTAGCAAAATTAATTTCTTTGTTTATATTTATCTATCAAACTCGTTATGTTGCCTCTCTTTATGGTTGCATAACTTGAGTCTCCAGAGTAGAATGTAACCCCTAAAACCTTGCTGCAGCCCTCAGAGTTCCCTCATAATAACCACCAATCATATGTTTTACTGGAAAAGAAGAGAAGCATTATTAGAAGCATAGGATAAAATAAAATGAATTGTATTTAACTTGATTTTCAATTAAATTTAAATGTAGATCAGGCCTTTGTTACTCTTTGTCCAATCTCCACTTGGATGCAGAGTGCACCATGCCATTAAAAATTAAGTGGGACTTATGGTTCTATCTATCTATCTATCTATCTATCTATCTATCTATCTATCTATCT